TTCATCTGAGTTAACAGAACACGTCCCGTGTCTTCCAAAGCAATGTTTAATGCTTGCACGGTTAAAACGGTTATGTAACCGTGACGGTTTACATAAACTCTTATGCAAACCTCCTAGTAGTAAAAATGAAATATTAGTTTAAACAGACACTCAATCCAAAACCGCACAAATGCAACTTAAACAAATACAAGAAAAATGATAAAAAAAATGAAGACAAACTTCTGCATATTTAAGATCATGTACAGTTGAAGTCAGAATTATTAGCCCTCCTGAATTATTCGCCCCCTGTATATTTTTCTTCCCAATTTCTGTTTAACAGAGAAGATTATTTTCTAATCATAATAAATTTAATAACTCATCTCTAACAACTGATTTATTTTATGTTTGTCATGATGACAGGAAACAATATTTGACTAGATATTTTTCAAGACACTTCTATACAGCTTAAAGTGACATTTAAAGGCTTAACTAGATTAATTAGGTGAACTAAGCAGGTTAGGGTAATTAGGCAAGTTATTGTATAATGATGGTTTGTTCTGTAGACGAAAACAAAAATAGCTTAAAGGGGCTGATAACATTGACCTTATAACTATTTTTAAAAATGAAAAACTGCTTTTATTCTGGCCAAAATAAAACAAGTAAGACTTTCTCTAGAAGAAAAAATAATATAGGAAATAATGTGAAAAATTCCTTGCTCTGTTAAAAATGATTTGGGAAATATTTGAAGAAGAAGAAAAATTCACAGGAGGGCTAATCATTCTGACTTCAACTGTGTGTAGCTAAACATCATGCCTAGTATACAATTTTTTTTTAAATATAAAGAAAATGAGTCTGTAAAAGTGTTTTTTTTTTTTTAAACAGTTTTTTATTTTTGCTAATTATTAATTATTGCAGTTTGTTTTTCAGTGCCGGTTTTTAGCTTCAGTTGGTTTTATTTTTTCATTTATTGTGAATTTTTTTATTTCATTTTAGGTAAAGAAAGTGTTTTTTGACCTATAGTTTCAGCCTTTCGGTTATTGTTTACGGGATGTGATGTTTGATTGACAGGAATGGATTTTCAGGTCAGGAGTGTAATGATGGACTCCACCCCTGTGGCTCTGCAGCTGTGGGACACCGCAGGACAGGAGAGGTCAGATGCCCCCCCCCAATAAAATGATTTAAAAACAGCCTATAGTAACAAAGACAACTTTAAATCACAGTTTACCCAGAAATGAAAATTTACCGACTCTCAAGTTGATCCAAACTTTTTTGTTTTTCACTCAAGAAAATATCTTGAAGAAAATGAGTAACTGGTGCCACTGACATCTATTATAGGAAAACAAAATACTATGGAAGTCAAATTTCCAACATTTTTCAAACTATCTTCTCTTGTGTTTATCAAAAGTAAGAAACTCAAACAGGTTTGGATTTGCTTCAAAATGAGAAAATTGTCATTTTTGGGTGAACTATCCCTTTAAACCTTTATAAAATCCTTATTTGTCAACCCAGGCTCATTATGGATACGTGCCCCTGCATACATTAATGGAGAGTGCGAAATACCTCCCAGAAGCTACGTTTTCTTGCAGATTTTGTTTTCGCGAATCCACCAGAGGCCGCTGTGTATGCTTTATCAGATCTCAAATTTCTCACGCGAGTGTCTTTCGCGCCTGCTGTTTTCACGTAAATCCACCATAGGCCGCTGTCGACTGACTGATTGACTGACCGATGCCCACCCCCTTCTCTAAACCCAACCAACAGTGTTTTCAAAAACAATCCAGAAAAAAAGCCCTCACGACAGCCTGATTTTTACCACGTTTTCAGATTTTACCACGTTCTCACCCTGTTATTTACTTATTTTATTTTATTTTATTTTTTGCCTTTTGTTTTACCTGCTTTCTGCAATCGTTCTTCACCAAACTTGAACCCCGTCGTCGTGGTCAACTCCTCTCTGCATCTCAAGTCCGTCGTACGCAGCAAGTCAATGGGAAAACTGGTAATAGCAGAAAAAGCCATCCACAAGGAGGTAAGTGGTCAGCTGGTAGCGCGAAAAGAAACAAAAGTGTTCGTTTTAAAGATCAAATGCAGCCGTACGTACCTCTGGCTACATAATTTACGCTCTCCAGAAATGTATACAAGGGTACATAATCACAATGAGCCCGTGCTTTTATTTGTTGCACCTCAGATCATGGTTGCCAAGTCTATATTTTTCCTACACAATTGAGCTACTTTTAAAATACATTTACGTCACTAAAAAGGCATATTTTAACATGTTTCAGTTAATATGACAACATATTTCAGCTCCCATCCTACATTTGATCTCATCAAATAGGCCATTTCACTCACAGTTGAAGCCAAATTTGTTTAGGTCTCTGATGAAATTGTGATTATTTTTCAAAAATTTACCATGTGATGTTTGGTGATATTAGTTTTCCTTAGTATTATTGTTTCTAGTTTGGCTGGAATTAAAGCCCTATTTACTTTTTACTTTTAAAAATTACAATTTAAGCTGAATACTAGTATTTTGTAAAATATCTAAAATATTATTATGTAAAAAAAAAGTTATTAGAAATTATTTAATAAAATTCTATTACGGAGACTTCCGGTATGCCTCGTGGAGACTAGACGCAGGTGGAAGTCACTCCGTGAACATTCGTGTATTTTTTCTATTAATCTCAGTTATCTTTGTCTTAAATCTATAAAGTAAGCAACGCTGCATCATATCTATACGCAAATATGCCAAAACCGGGAAAATCAGGACGAAATATCGCTGAAATGTTGGCTGAAAGAGGAGGCGAGCAGGCCGCTAACGCCTCGCCGAGGGAGGATGAGCTAACACCTGCTTCTCTGAAGGAGATAATTACGACTACCATTCGCACGGAAGTGTCAACATTACGAACTGAATTCTTATCCGAGCTCCGTTCTGCCGTGTCCACTCTGCAATCAACCCTCTCACTACAAGCTCAGAAGATTGTGGACATTGAAACCGCACTTATTGACTCGGACGGCCGCTTGACAGCGATTGAGGCACTATGCAACGCACTGAAAAAAGAAAACGGCTCCCTTAAACTCAAAGTGGATGATTTAGAGAACCGCTCGCGGAGGCAAAATCTGAGGATCATTGGAATACCTGAGGGATTAGAGGGTCAAAGTCCGGTTACGTTCATGATTTCACTTTTTATTGAACTTTTCGGAGACAGTGCCTTTGAGAGACCACTACAAATTGACCGCGCTCATCGCACCGGCCAAAAAACACACCCGAACGCATATCCTAGGCATATGCTCGTCCGTCTCCACCACTATCAAACCAAAGAACTCATTCTGAAACTAAGTCGTGAACGAGGCTCTTTGGAATTCAACGGTGCGACGATTCGCATTTTCCCGGACATGTCTGCTGAAGTGGCGAGGCAGCGAGCCGAGTTCAAAGATGTGAAAGCTTTATTTCGCAGCGCTGGCGTAACCTATGGCATGCTGCATCCTGCTAAACTACGCGTCGATTACAAGGGACAACGGCATTTCTTCCAAACCCCACAGGCTGCGATGGAATTCTTCACTGCTAACATCAAGAATGCAGCGAATCAGGTTTGATCCAAACTTTTTTGTTTTTCACTCAAGAAAATATCTTGAAGAAAATGAGTAACTGGTGCCACTGACATCTATTATAGGAAAACAAAATACTATGGAAGTCAAATTTCCAACATTTTTCAAACTATCTTCTCTTGTGTTTATCAAAAGTAAGAAACTCAAACAGGTTTGGATTTGCTTCAAAATGAGAAAATTGTCATTTTTGGGTGAACTATCCCTTTAAACCTTTATAAAATCCTTATTTGTCAACCCAGGCTCATTATGGATACGTGCCCCTGCATACATTAATGGAGAGTGCGAAATACCTCCCAGAAGCTACGTTTTCTTGCAGATTTTGTTTTCGCGAATCCACCAGAGGCCGCTGTGTATGCTTTATCAGATCTCAAATTTCTCACGCGAGTGTCTTTCGCGCCTGCTGTTTTCACGTAAATCCACCATAGGCCGCTGTCGACTGACTGATTGACTGACCGATGCCCACCCCCTTCTCTAAACCCAACCAACAGTGTTTTCAAAAACAATCCAGAAAAAAAAGCCCTCACGACAGCCTGATTTTTACCACGTTTGAAGTGGCGAGGCAGCGAGCCGAGTTCAAAGATGTGAAAGCTTTATTTCGCAGCGCTGGCGTAACCTATGGCATGCTGCATCCTGCTAAACTACGCGTCGATTACAAGGGACAACGGCATTTCTTCCAAACCCCACAGGCTGCGATGGAATTCTTCACTGCTAACATCAAGAATGCAGCGAATCAGGTTTGATCGACGTAACAGTCAAATGGTCCGAATCAAGAACTGAAGTAAAATTAAGAACTGAACTGACATCTTTGCAAAACGAGTGAAGCCTCAAAATAAATAAAATATGCAATACCATAGCATATTTACCCAGTTTCTGTGCGTTAAAAATACTTTACTTTTTATAGTCGTATGTGATTTTAAGTCAGATACATGTATGCGTTGTCTACTGTTTATTGAATCATTTCTATATTTAAGTCAGATACATGTATGCGTTGTCTACTGTTTATTGAATCATTTCTATATACATATATCCGTTCACGGAGCGCTGCCGAAATGACAGCCAAAGTTGAAAGTTGAAACTGTTTACTGGTTTCTTATTCACCTGACTGTAATGTTCTTTTCAGTTAGGTTTGTTATGGATGCTACTTTCCGTGACCGTTCTGGTCACGTGGGGGGGACACGGGTTCTTTTTATGTTTTTTTGTTTGTTTTTGGTTCCTTTAGATTTCGTTATGTCTGCTCATTTTGTTTATGCTCTCCATTCAAACACTCTTGACTACTTGAGAAATATCAAGTTATTGTTTAACATTAATGTCAAATGATACCTACCAAGATAGACGGGGCAGGGTTAATATAATTAGTTGGAACGTTAAAGGCTTAAATAATAAAGTGAAGAGTGTGAGGGTTTTTTCTAAGCTAAACAAATTAAAGCCCAATATATGTTTTTTACAGGAAACCCACCTTAAAATCTCGTGCCAAAAAAGCCTGCAGAGGTCATGGGTGGGACAGGTTTTCCATTCAGGCTTTAATAATAAAGCAAGAGGCACTGCCATTTTAATTAATAAGAATACACAGTTCAAACCCTCCAATATTATTTCAGATCCCAACGGCAGATACGTGATTGTGCCAGGCATCCTCTATAATAGTCAAGTTACTTTAGTAAGCGTTTACGCACCTAATTGGGATAACCCAGATTTCTTTACTACACTCTTCTCTAAACTCCCGGACCTGAATCTTTATCAACTGATTATGGGAGGTGACTTTAATTGCATTCTAAACACAGTTCTTGATAGATCATCCCCCAAATCAACCCTTCAATCTCAGTCTTCTAAAACAATTAATTCTTTTTTAGAATTGTGTGGAATAACTGATATTTGGCGTTTCCTAAATCCTACTTCTAAAGTTTTTTCCTTTTTTTCTCCTGTGCACCATACTTATACACGTATTGATTATTTTTCATTGACAGTAAACTTATTTCTCGAGTGAACTCCTCCTCATATGACACTATAACTGTTTCAGATCATGCTCCAGTAATTCTTGAACTGGTCCTTCCTGGAAGCTATTCATTTTGTACTTGGAGAATGAATGCTTTACTTTTATCTAAGAGCCATTTTGTTGAGTTTCTTTCAGAAAAGATCTCTACATTTCTTGAAATCAATTCAACGGATGGGATTTCTTCATCTTTACTTTGGGAAACACTTAAAGCATATTTACGTGGAGAAATAATATCTCACTCAGCTTATATAAAAAAGGAGTGTAATAAGAAACTTTTTAAACTTTCTGATCAAATTGGTAAATTGGACCAAATTTATGCACAACACCCAAGCACATCACTATTTAATGAAAGAATCTTTTTACAATCTGAATATAACCAACTTTCTACTGCCCAAGCTGAGCAGCTTTTGCTCAAATCACGACACCTTTTTTATGAGTTTGGTGATAAACCAGGTAAAACACTTGCACTGCAACTCAGGCTTAAAACAGCAAAAAACTTTATCACCCCAAATTCAAACCCAAGAAAGCATTATTGTTTCAGACCCTCAAGAAATTAATAATACATTTTAAATCTTTTTACTCTTCATTGTACCAGTCAGACTCCCTTAAAGACCCTAACATTATTAGTAGATTTTTTGACAATCTTAATATTCCTCAAATAAGTAGTGAATTAAAAGCAAAAATGGATGAACCTATCAGCTTAGATGAAATTTCAAAATCTATTGCACAAATGCAAAGCGGAAAATCTCCGGGGCCGGACGGATTTCCCACAGAGTTTTTTAAAAAGTTTTCCGCTCAGATTTCACCTTTGCTTCTCTCTGTTTTTGAAGACTCTTTAAATAGTGGTAATCTCCCTTCTTCTTTGCGCCAGGCATCAATCTCTCTTCTTTTAAAACCTGATAAAAATCCATTGGAGTGTGGGTCCTACCGTCCTATCTCTCTTCTTAATGTAGATGTAAAAATCTTGGCTAAGATTCTTGCTCTTAGATTAGAAACTGTTATCCAAGATATCATACACCCTGACCAAACCGGCTTTATTAAAAACAGGCAGGCCTTTTTTAACCTGAGGAGGTTGATGAACATAATTTACACCTCATCTGACTCCTCTGTGCCTGAGGCCTTAGTCTTACTCGACGCGGAGAAAGCTTTCGACCGCGTCGAGTGGGACTATCTATTCTACACATTAAAAAAATTTGGGTTTGGTGACAAATTTGTTTCTTGGGTGAGACTCCTATACTCTTCTCCCATGGCGTCTGTGAAAACAAACAGCAATAGTTCTGATTATTTTCCTCTTCACCGTGGCACCAGACAAGGTTGCCCACTTTCCCCTATTTTATTTGCTTTAGCTATAGAGCCTCTTGCAATTTGCTTTCGCAATAATCCTGAGATTGCTGGTATTTTCAGAGCCGGAAAAGAACAGAAAATTTCTCTTTATGCTGATGATGTGGTATTGTATATTTCAGACCCAGAAACTCGTCTCCCGTATGTTCTGGAACTTTTGAGACAGTTCAGCGACGTCTCTGGTTAAAAGTTAAATCTGCATAAGAGTGAGTTTTTTCTTATAAATCCTGCTCCAAGATCCTTTCCAGTGTCAATATTGCCATTTAAATTAGCCTCAGAAAATTTTCGATATTTGGGAATAACAATAACACGAAAATATACTGATCTTTTTAAACATAATTTTGTTGTAATATTAGAGAAAACAAAACAAGATCTAGCTAAATGGAAAACTCTCCCACTTTCTCTTGTAGGCAGAATAAACACAATAAAAATGAATATCCTCCCTAAATTTCTTTTCCTCTTTCAAAGTATTCCAATTTTCATACGAAAGTCATTTTTTAAGTCCTTGGATCAAGTAATTTCGGATTTTATTTGGAACGGTGGCCCAATAAGAATACAGAAATCATTTCTTCAACAACCCAAAAAGTTAGGTGGTTTTGCACTTCCTTATTTCTTAGTCTACTATTGGGCGACTAACATCCACAGTATTTTATATTGGAGCCAGTCACACTACGGACTCTGCCACTGGGTCCCAGAATGGGTTGAAATGGAATGCGATTCTTGCACCCAAGTGTCTTTGCATGCGTTAATATGCTCTTCATTACCATTAAAGACATCAAACTATTCCTCTAACCCTATAGTACTTAATAGTCTTCGAATTTGGTCACAATTTAGAAAACATTTTGGCTTTCAACAATGTCTAGTCTGTCTCCCATATATAAAAACCCTTCTTTCCTGCCCTCTATCTCAGACCAATCTTTTGTATCATGGTTTAGAAAAGGCATTGTAAGCATTAATGACCTTTTTTGTGATGATACATTTGTTACATTTTCTTATTTATCAGAAAAATTTAACCTTCCCAAAACTCATTTTTTTCGATATCTTCAGACACGTGAATTTATACGAAATACTTTTTCCCATTTTCCCCTTGCACCTCCCAAACAAGAAATCGATCAGGTTTTAGATACAAAAATTTGTAAAGGTGCAGTCTCTAAAATTTATAAAACAATTTTTTCATTTATTAGACAGTTAGATTCCTCATCCTTTTTAAAAATAAAGCAGAGCTGGGAATCAGATCTCAATCATGTTTTCACAGACGAGGAATGGTCCAAGGCTCTGTCTCGTGTACAAACCTCTTCTATTTGTGCTCGTCATTCCCTTATACAATTCAAATTATTGCATAGAGTATATTGGACTAAGGCAAAAATATCTAAAATTAACCCTGGTTTTGATCCAATCTGTGATCGGTGTCGACAAGCTCCAGCAACTCTTCTTCATACTTTCTGGCTTTGTCCAGCGCTAAGCACTTTTTGGGCATCAATTTTTAAATCAATTTCTGAATGCTTTCTTTTAGATATTGAGCCATGCCCCCTAGTAGCATTATTTGGACTTAACCCTACAAATGTTTCTTTGTCATCTACACAATCAAATGCACTTGCTTTTTGTTTAATAATTGCTAAAAGGCTTATAACACTAAACTGGAAAAATCCTTCCCCACCCAGTTACATACATTGGATGCATGATCTGATGCAGTCTATGCAAATAGAAAAGATTAGATATACAGTTTGCGGTGATACTGAAAAATTTGACACTATCTGGCAACCATTCCTCTTACACTTTAAAAATAAAAATAATAAATAAATAAACATGTATATATGTATGTGTATTTGTATGCAAGTATATAACTGACTTATCTTCCCTACCCCTGGCTTGGTTATGAGTGGAGAGTGTGTTTTTTTATTTATTTATTTTATTTTTTGTTTTTATATATATATTTTATTATTATTTTATTTTCTACTGCTGTACCCTTTGAGTATTTGTATTTATATATTCTCGGCACTGTTGTTGTTGTTGTTGTTGTTTTTTGTTTTGTTTTTTCCTTAATGCATGAATATGTAACTATATTTTATTCAGAGAGAAAGAAAACGTGAGCAAAATTGTATTCTACCACCACATTGGATCAGTTGATGTCTAATGATTCTGTGTATCTGATGCTGTGGCTCTCTGACTAACATATTTCAATAAAAACAGAGTTAAACTAAAATTCTATTACAGGAAATATTCTGAAAAAAAAGATGGAAATTCACAAACAATTTCACGGTGTGTACATAATACAAGTACTGCAAATCATTATATAGTATATAATTCTACTGTATAGTGATTTTTATGCTAAAACTGTATATAACTGTATTTTAGATATATATTGGATGAGTTTTCTTATGCAGACCTGGCAACCTGAACAACCCCTGAAGAGCCTACTTTGAGCTAAATAAAGTGTATATTTAAATGATAATTACCTGTCGCCCAATCAGGTTCCACAACCTCACGCAGCAGTATTTCCGCAAGGCAGATGGAATCATTGCTATGTATGATGTCACTCAACAGTCATCATTCACGGCTGTCCGTCATTGGCTGGATCAAGTGCAGGTGAAAATACCAGAGTTCTAGATTGAGACCTGAAAACAGAAACATCCTTAGTATTTCAAAGTGAAAGAACATTATATCACTGAGATTTACTAATTTTTAAATTCAATGAATTGAAGTGACTTTATCAAGTACTGGGCCCGATTATGTAACGCAGCACAGCCTCATTTGCATGCAGAAGGTGTGCTTATGCTGATTTGCATACTGGTCAGTGAGGGGCTGTGATTGTCAAATTAGAAAGCGACTGCTCTTAGCGTGTGCTGTGTGTGCCTGTGATTGGTTTATGAGATTAGACAGTCTGTCTGTGTGTGTGTATATATATATATATATATATATATATATATATATATATATATATATATATATATAAAGTGCATCATTTCAGCGCATTAAGTTAAAACCAATAGTACTTTAACGTTGTTGAGGCTTTTAAACGAGAAACAAATATGAGTGAGGTAAACAAATACTATTTATTTTCGCGGGTAAAAAACAAAAGTCTAATATATAAGTCCAAAATATAAACACTCATCATGTAAGCGATATTAAGGCTTTTAAACGAA